TGCGTGAAGCCTTTTCCAAGGAGGGTACCTCTATAACGCCCTATTGAGCAACAACTTTACGTCCCAAACGCCTTCCTTGCCCGCCCGCCCACAAACGGACGACCGTTTCTGACGCTCGTATTCATTCATTTGCTGAGCAAATTATGAAGCAAAGGGATTGGTATGAAGCGGCGGTGATGCTGCATGCATATATGGGTACACATATGCAGCCGTACCTTCGGTAGCGGTGATTGGCAAGATGCGTACGGGAAACTCGTCCGAAATCGATTTACAAGTCACTGAGAACGGAGGCTTTTTCTTCGCCGGATTTTGACCGTTTCACTCCGTTCTTTCGCCATTTCCCCACTATACAGCGCCCTCTATTTCTTTTGTTTTCATTGTTTCATTTTAAATGAATGTCCTAAAGGTTTGCTATTGGTTAAACTGTCTCTTGTAAACTATAAATGTTCCAAAACATTTATAGTTTACAAGTGGAGTTCGAAGAATCAAAAAAAGAAATGGTATGAAATTCACCTAGGAATCGAAACACTATTCTTCTATGCAACATCAAGAAGAAGGAAACTTCATAAATTCATGTATAAGCTCGAAGAATGAAAAAAAGAAACACTACGACACCAACACTAAATGAAGCTCCCACGCTTTTTGCTCATTTCTTTCCTGAATCCTTCTTCTTTTTCTTTGCCCGCTGTCCCGCTTAGTGGCAGAGTCCGCTTTTCTTAGGTGATGACGCCATTTTTCCCGATTCAAATGCTTGGTCAGGGTGGATTCCAGCTGCTTTCAAGTCTGTATGCAACGTATCGAGCCAGCGCTGCTTGGGACGTCCCTTGGGCCGCTTTCTGGGCATCATCAAGCCTAAGAGCTAGTAAAGGTCAAATAAGAGTTCTCAAGCTTAAAGCTAGTCATAGAGACAGTGTCAGCCCGTGCTTGAATTACGTGGCCATACCATCGAAAGCGCGTCCCCGCATTTGGTCAGCTGTAGGAGCTATGCCGAACTTCATGCGTACTATGTCGTTCCAAATGCGGTACAAACGAGACGCCGCTGTTCAACGCAACATTCTCATCTCCATCACATTGAAATGGGCTCAAACTTCTTTGGTCGTAGGCCAGCATTCCGCACCGTATAGGGCGACTGGTCGAACGACACTTCTGTGAATCTTGGACTTAAGGCGCTGTGGCATCTTCTTGTCGAAGTATCCCAACATGGATCGCTATTTCGACCTTACTGCGCTCACACGTGCGTGCACTTCTGAGCTAAGACCTCCATCGGACGTAGTTGCTGATCCGAGATATCTGAACGTTTTTGTACGCGTGAGCTCACTGCCATCGATTTTGATGGAACCCGTTTCGCATGGATCGGTTGATAAGTATTTGGTCTTTTTACGGTCAACCTGAGCCCAAACTTCGCCAAGCGGTCAGCCCAAGCTTGCACCTGTTGCTCTAGCGTACTCTTATCCTCGCATGCAAGCATCACGTCATCAGCATAAAGAAGTCCACACACCTTTTTTCTGGAGGTCTCGCGCGATGGCATTCATCACGACGACAAAAAGGAGTGGAGAGAGCCTTTGGTGTACCCCGACGGTTATGGGGAAACTCCGCCGAAGTGCCTGCAGGTGTCCGGACTTGGCTCTGGGTCTTGATAAAGGGGGCGCACACACTCCAATAGCTCTTCGGAGAGCCGTGTTGTCGCAAAGCGTACCATATGACGTCACGATGAACGCGATCAAATGCCTTCTCCAGGTCTAGAAAGGCTACATGCACAGGCTTTCGCTTCTCACGGTGTTTCTCCAGCAGAAGACGAGCGGCGTGTATGGCGTCGATGGTGCTACAGTAGGTCACGAAGCCACACTGGTTGGCAGAAAGTTGGACGATTTCACGAAACGGAAAACGGCTATCAACAGTTCGCATTTTCATGCTATGCGAGCGTAGGCGCATTGGACGGTAGTTCGAGCAGTCTGCTGTCTGCCCTTCTTCTTCCAGATCGGAATTGTCGCGCTATGCTGCCAGTCAACCAGCACCTTCTTCTCTGCGAGGATCTGATTGACGAGCTTCCTCAACCATTCTGCAAAGAACCAGTGCTGTGACTTCCACAAGTCAGCTGCTAAGTCGCCCGGACCTGTAGCTTCATGTACCTTCATCTTCTTCAAATGCTTCCGTTTCTTCGACATCAATTTCCGAACGGGACCATATGTAGGCGCAGCAGAGGGATAGCTGGATGAGTGAGTTCCATCGGCGAGATACTCTACATCCTTGTGACGTTGGCGAGATTTTGCAAGTTGGTAACGGCCGTCGCGCGTGCCCAGTTTTTTGTGACGTCGTCAGGGTGAGCGTCTTCCACTACAGGCGCGGCCTTCTTTGTAGCACTCCCAGTTGTCAGTCGACTCGTTTCCTGAGGTACACGTGATAAAAGCCTCTTCTTCTCGCATACTTCCGCTTGACCTCGCGGACTCGTTCAGATCCAGGCCAGCTTATCAAATTTTACGAGCCGTCAGGCTTCGTTTGTGCTAAGTTCGGACGAGGTGGCGTAGATTGTCCGAACTGACGGCTTTCCATTCGCTCCAGGTTTCCTACGAAAGTCGTGACGCCGTTTACTTCCGCTTCTTCAGTCGCCAACTTGATTCCCTCGAGAGCCGCATCATCGATCTATTTGATGTGGGACTGTTAAGATTTCAGTGTGTAAAGACGCAGCGGCGGTGTTGCATGAGCTATTCGTACGGTCATTAACTAGCGTCTTGTTTGGGCGATCCTTGATTCGTCGTGCTGATAGGCACACCCTGTTTTTATTTGTGTTGTTTTGTATCTGGCCGCTGTAAGAAGGTGGGTGGGAGCCGCGAAACTTCTGCTGCTCACAATGAGTATTGACGAGAGTCAGACGCGTGTCCGCATCCTACCGACTTGTCAACCTGTGATAAATAAGTGGAATCATCTATGAGTAACAGGAGACGTTCCGGACAGTGGTTGGATGCCGACGAACCACCGAGGCAATTTCCAAAGCCGAATCCTCACGAAAAAAAGATTATGGTCACAGTGTGGTGGTCATCGGCTGGTGTGATCCACTATAACTTTTTGTCACGATGTCACATTGGCAAAATTGTGCTGGTTCAAACGGTGCTTATTTCGATTAAAGGCAGCGCCCGCGTTCAAATTTAATGAGTATGCGGCTCAGGTAGTAACAGCGAGGTAGCAAGAAGCCTATTAGTGAAGAAAAATCAAAGAGAAAACACGCAAAATGCCCTAGAAGGAGTTTCATACCGAACAACGGTTGTACGTGCTCTAAGGCGAAGGGAAAAGAGTGATTGCACGAAGTTCCACTTGTTCATATCAGCTGTTTTCCCTTATCACCTCACTCTCACCACTCCACGTGGAGAGAAGCAGCAATGGAACAACCGCACCATCAGGCAACCATTAGAAATGAAGTTGGGTGGCGTGGTCGGCAGGTGGGCGGAGCCGTCGGCTCTTTGCGGGCGGACGCCGCTGTTCCGTCGCATTTTTGGGTTGCGGAACATGCACGTCCACCATCCTCATAGGGGGAGCTACTAGATCCAGAGAGGGCGTGAGAACAAAATGAACGCGGGGCGCTGCCTTTTGAATCCGATGAGTATTAAGGATGTATGATCGTTTAGAGTGAAATCCTCAAAACGCTGAGAACTTTCCGGACAACCTAGTAGTAACTGCCCATTACTGCTGTGATGGACGCTATGATACAGGCGATTTTGAGTTGCCGTTCCGTTTACCTGATCTTATCAGTGCTTAACATTTTTGCCACCATTATTCCTACACCATCCCTACATCATATCCTGGAAACAACATTGCTCGCACATTGCTGGGGCCGATTAACCGTGACCCTCCCATTCTTCCTTGTCAGCTCTTATGAGCAGCTAGCTACCACTTTCTGTCACCCATCACAAATGTTCCAGTTCCACCCACTGTATCACTTATCAGTTTGAACTCTCTATAACTAAATCAAAGAAAGTTATGTTATTTCTGGTCACACACACACACACACACACACACACACACACACACACACACACACACACACACACACACACACACACACACACACACACACACACACACACACACACACACACACACACACACACACACAACACACACCAACCGGTAAGCTTAACGGTATCATACAACCAGGAATGTTGCTAGCTGGCTTCTTGGCCCCGTCCCCCCCCCCCCCTTTTTTTTTTCTTTTTCACAGACACAAGTCATTGAATACTTGTTTCAAATACTCGGGTCTGTTTCTCACGATCTCTATTCGTGTTAAGACCGAAGCGGCAACCACATTGACCTGCGCGAGAAGAAGTTTGCGCCACACAGGCTGTCTGCGCACTTATTTGCCATCCACCCAGCATATTTCTTCAGGCCTGTGGCTAGCAAAGCAAAGTCGTTTACCTCTGCGGTATCAACTGCGTGGCTCGTTTTGTGGCTGCTTTTATGATTCCTTTATTCAAAGTCCTGGTGGCACGACTAAAACTGACATCCTACACTAAACATGGCACCGGCAATTGTCGGGTCCGAATCGCGGCTCGCACCTGCGCGGCCGTTTCCATCATTAGTTTGTCCTTCCTAAATCGATCTTTACCCGATCGCGCCACTGGTAGAGCAACGAGGCCACCCATTTGGACCGCGTTGCACAGCCGCCCTCCGACAGTCCGCAATGATGAGGACTGTAGGTTTTCCCATGCAGCCGCTAGAAGAGGCGAATGGTTGGGCTCGTTCGAGTCGCACGTTTGTTTTGCTTGGTTTTGTTTTCTTGCTCTCGTTCATTTTTTGACTGATTTTCGTTCCTGATCAAGTTCAAGTTTTTGGGTTTTTTTACTGAGCCGACCATTGCCTTCGTTTTTGGACGAGCTTACAACGTAGTGAATAAAGAAAAATGAATAAATATTTTCCAACTAATTACATTGTCTCGCATAAGTTTCCAGAAACCTCAAAAATGGTATATAACCGTGTTAACAACTTGCAAATACCAATAAGAACTGACATTAATCAAGCTGACGACGGCACAATAATAATCCCAGAAAAATTCCTATTCCACACGCTAAATAAGAGAAGTTCGAAATAAGTGAATTATTGCTTGTCGGCTTGGAAGGGAGCCCAACAACGGCGCAGTTTAGAGAAGCAACTCTATCTCGAAGAGAAGCCGATGCCGAACGTTCTAGACGAGGCGCAGCAGACGAAAGCAGCTTGCTTTTTGTTCTCACCATCCTGAATAGATATTAGATATGCAGCAAGCCTCCATGGAAATTATGGAATATGAGCATGGTGGAACCTACAGCGAAACTTCTAGCAGATACTTCATCTTTGCTGCACAGCTCTCGAATTCTATCTCTGAAGTCACAGTATTTAGTGGATCCGTTGTGAAGCCTTTAAGATCTACTAAACCGACGGGAGAGAAGAACGCGAAATAACCAACTCATGCTTGAGCAGTTCACGTTGTATAACAATAAGGTGCAGATTAATGTTGCACAGCAGGTCGTAGGTTTGCAGAAGAGAACCGCCCACAATCCTGGAAAACGACCGCTTTTCTCTGCTGATATAGTGTTTAATCATTTTAACCTTAACTGGCTACTTTTCAGATAAATGGCCTCATAAAGCTTGATAAGGGCAGAGAGTGACAAATGTGTTTTAAGGCTGTTTCCTCCTTTGTCGGCGTGTCCAGTGCAGTGACCACAATCGTCCTGATAGACTAGGAAAGTATGGACATCGATTTGGCGTCATCCAGCGTCCATCAGCGAGCAGCAGCGTCCAGGAACACTCTATTGGGCCATAGGAGGGTAACAGAGAGCTTTCAACCCACTATCACCCATAC